AATGGAGAAAACGAACGAGAGAATGCCAGTGTGCTAGTCTCCAGTCTCAATATGGGTGCGCTGCTCCAAACTGGGTGTGCAAGATCTTGGAGAAGCATCCCAAAGAAAAGGTGCAATTCCAATATATCGGTGAAGGAGGCGTATGATGATGATTGCCATTCAGGCGAGGTATTATAGCCTAGAGGAAAGGGTTGTCTGTGCATCGTCATAAACAACATTCAGAGAGAGATGTATTCTGGGCATAGAGCTTTGACGACATCAATATCCATTGTCATTCAGACCCCAATGAGATTGCCGACGTATCAGAAAAGAAATGTTTGGATGTGCGGTTTCATTCTGAACTGAACTGGTCTTGTTGGTGCGCTCTTTTTATTTAGCTCTTTCTCTACAGTATCGGTACTTGCAAGGCTTTCCACAAAAAGTTTACCGGGATGATATTATACTGTGCTCGAGTAAAATGAGAGCTTCCCATAAAATCTGGACCGAGCGTAGATAGGGTGGGTAAACGGCTGAATTGGGCTCATGGAGGAGTGCTAGTCACCCGTCCCGGTTGCATTCAACAGAAAAGAGTGCACACTCTACGATGATATCGCGGTGCTCAATCGGATGCGGCCAGATGCGGGAACACAGGGCTTTTTACTACTTGCGGAGATAGAGGGGAGCATTACCCATAGCCGAAGTATAAAGGGCGAGAGGGAAAATCTCGGAGGATAGCGGATGAAGTGGGCAGAAATATCCGTTCCCAAGATAATCATCAAACCATCTCAACATTCTCGACTGATGCTTGCAGCGTAGTGTAACTTAGCACCGAAATAATTATCAGAAAAACGATAAACCACCAATTTGGAAGTGTCCGGCAACAGCTAGCAATAAGTTGTCGGTTGAAGGCATACAATCGGCGGTAGCAATGAGGACTCTTTGTGGTGGATCTCCCCGCCAAAGTTTAGAGAGGTAGATGGACCACAAACCATCCAGATAACTGTACTCGTGCGCGAGGAGAGGACTCATGTTGCCAAGAGCCGCAGAAGGGCATCTAGGCCTAAGGTGTGCATTGGCCCCCAAACTTGGAACAAATCGAATCCCGACACCGTGGACCTGTCGTCTACCAGGTTACCACCCCACGCTCGTTTCCAGCTCCACGGCTGCATCTATCTGGCCTCCCGTACCTGTGCCAGATTTGTGCCGATTCTCGTGAATGTGCGGCCAAACAGAGCCTGTCCTGCCTAGCATGTTGTGGATTGTCGGGGGCGGAATCTCGGCCTAGAATCAGGATTGTTGAGGAAACGGAAAACAGTGAGGGAAAGGACAATTAACAGTCCAATTGCATCATAGCTACCATAATATGTAACCAATATATTTCTTCCCTCCCATCGTAGAGCAATCAACCCGTGGAAGGGGGGAGGAAAAGGAAAAACACAAAGGAAGGGAGAAAGAAAGAAAGAAAGAGGAGGAGAAGGGATTAAACATCCTTCCACCGAGCTTGTTTATCCAGTGCGCTTCCTATCTAGGCCCGACACTGGCTTTCTGTCTACTTCTCGATTGATTCAATCCTACTCTACATTACATTCAACACCATCAGAGCTGGTCGATGTGATTGCTATGAAAAGAACCCACCCGACTTCTTTTCCATTTTTTTCCTGCATTCTCTTCTCCATATTCTATTTGAACCACCACGTGCCCCGCTTTCCTCCACTTTGGATATCTTCAATCCAGATACATCTAGGGCACTGTGGATATCCCCACTTTCCCGCGGCTTCTGATTGTCACTCGCTCCTATCTCTACGGGCTCAGTATTTGCAATCAGCCTTACGGAATCTCCTACCTTCTTAGTAGCTATAATACACACCCGGGTCCTCTATTCACTAAGGCCAAGGGGTCATCTCCCATTTCATCCGTGGGGGGCAAACACAAAAAGAAAACAAGTTCACACACATCTCTATTGTTTGAGATATCGGGGGAGAGAAAAAATAAATATACATCTCCTTCTCTGCTTCTTCACCATAAACCACTCACCACAATTGACCGGGCATTTTCTATCAAAACAAACAAAAGACGTCCACTCCATCTATCCCGGTGGACTCCACCGCAAGCACTATCCTCACTCTGGCCAACCGGGACTCACGTGGACTCGTTCTGTTACGCGAAACCCGCGGCATCTTATTTCACATTTGGTTCGTGGTAGTTGGTGGGGGTTTGATTCGAAACGGAGTAGCAGCCCACGGCGGCAAAAGGAAGTCGAAACAGCAGGTACACAAGGAAAGGATCCTGAAAAGCGAAGGCGAGTCTACGAACATCCGTCTTGTGCTAAAAATCATAGAAGAATCGTATTGCGAGCAGGTTGTGACGGAAAGAGACAACAGGACACGAGAAATATTTTACTTTTTTTAAAATTATTTCTGCGCTCTTCGCACGCTTCCTTAATGGTGTGAATTTTGACCCGAGGCGAATTCTGCATGCAGCTGCAACCTAGTGCCATAAATTGGTGAGTGCAAAAGCCCAGGCACCACCTATCCCTCACCCCCCCTCAGCCCCAGCAAGGTACTCTCCTTTGATAACCAGTCATCTGTCATCATACGCCGACATAAGTGGCGGTTTCGCTTCGGTCGAGTAGGAGAAAATTGTTGACTTTGCCTTTACGGTAGTTCACATTTCCCCATGCGGAGCCCGGAAGGCCTGCTGACCACAGGAGACACCCCAGACCAGATCAGAGGTAAAGTACTCGTACACACGAGGCAGCTCCCAGGCACTTTAGAGCAACTGCTCCGAAAGTAGTTAAGGTTGTAGGCACACAAGATTCCCCACTCACCCGCCGTTTCAGCCGTTTATATCGTTCGGGAATCTCGCGTTGCATAAGGGGAATTTGTCCGTTCTTCGTATTTTCCTACTCTCTTTTTTTTCCCGCGAAGTCACCTAGTGGGGGGTGATTGTGTCGATTGTTGTGTTTTGTGTTTTTGTTCCTGAAGGTGGTAAGGATTGTCCGGCTTTCCTTGTTCGCAAGTTACCGAAGTGCAACTTTCCTGGAGCCGGCATCCCAAAGCAAGGCCTCACCCATCTTCATCCCCTCCAGAGGGATTGGATTTGAAAAAAGAAAACTTCCTTGACTTCGGCTCTTCCCCCAAATAACGAGAGGTGTTCAGTAAGTTAGTGTTGTCGTCTGAATCTGAGTTTTGGAGCTAAAGTCGAAGGAAGTTAAGCCCACTTTCACTTAGAGCTCTGGGTTACTCTTAGAGGAGCGCTGGTCAATATTCGGGAAGACCTGGGGTAAGTACCGTACGTTACACTGCGGTACTGGTATGATAGGGTAAAACGGGAGGAGGGAGGTCTTACTAAAAGCAACTACAGAGCCAAATACTCAACCCTAGCAAGCTGCAGAATTAAAAGAAGGGAACTGGGTCCCGGTCGAGACCAGGGGCCAAGTGTGTCTAGAGACTTCGCCGGGCCAACCTATCTCTATCAATATTCCTCATCCCATCCCATCTCCTCCGCTTCGTCTAGGTTTCTAGGAAATTGTGTTTCTAACGCGCACGGGAAGTCTTTACAGCGCGGAGGTATCAGAACTAGATACAGGTTACGGCACCTGGACTAAAGGCAGGGGAATAAGACACGTCGGATCGTTACCGGAATCGAACACGTGGAGAAGATAAAGGCTTAAGTCACTGGGTAAAGGGAGGTCAGGTTGACATTTGCGACATTTGAACCTCAACTCCCGGTCAACTATAGACATTTGACACGTCGGGATTGTGGTGCATGTGCTCGAGGAGTAGAGTGTCGTGGTGTAAGTCGTCATCCTAGACCTATCTCTGGATCCTTCCTCCTAACCTTATTTCTTCCTCCTTCCCTCCCTTCCGCCCGTCCCCGCTTTAGGTGTTTGTTGGCCCTCCTTTAGTTATATATATGTCCACTATGCTCTATCTACTCTGTAGTTGCGCCAACGTTGCTGCCGAACCTCATCGTCCCCTCCATCACGTTACATAACAGCTTCCTTAAGCATATTGTTATCATTTCTCCATTGATTCAAGTACTGATCCACTGTTTAGTAATTTCATAGCGCATAGCCAGGCCTCCCACAGGTCGCCGACTTCATATATTTCAGACCTTCTTCAGACCTTCTATCCAACCTCGAACTAGATATCGAGTACGGTAGTCTCCTGCGGAGTCCATCCGACGCCGACTAGTGGAAATTGATTGGCTTTGCACCACCTTTTCCTAGTTTGATTCGCAAGTTTAGCCAAGCTTACTACGGTGGTTAATAATAGTGGTAAGTTTACTGCGCGCGAGTTTCCAATGGACCTGCCACCCATTTCCTATACCCCTTTTTTTTTTTTTTTTACTCTCCAGTTGCATCCATCTCGCCAACATTTGATTGTTGATATCGGCTTCAACATTCCCATCTCATGACTCCTTTGTTATTACCCTATCTATATCCTCCGCCCACCTTTATTGGAATGAATATCACGCTAAAATGCAGCTGCACGCGACAGCAGAAGACCAGTATAAAGCACGTGCAACTGCCCAAGAGGTTTCTACTTGAGCATTATCCTCTGGTGGTTGAATTTTGACCCTCTCAACAAACCCTGTCGACGCGACTTTTTAAACCCCCGTCACCCGAAAGGGGTGTAACGAAAACGAGGGAGATTTCCTGTTGTTCGTCTGTGCGATACAAGGGACTCCCGGACCTAGTGCTTTCTGAATCCTTTGCTGCACTGGTAGCACTTTCCGCCACTAATAACCTGGCCTAGCTTGCTAGCCTACCATTTGGATTGCTGGGTGCAAGCAGCTGAATACGCTTCTAGAACCCTACTCCTTTAGGCTCTAGCACAGGATTGTTCCGCAGTCTAGACCGGGGCTCGATTGCCCTACTTACTCCCTATCTCGTCCCATTTTTTTTCCACCTCCAGACTCTGCACCACACCCGGACAACCATAACAACCGCATTAACCACGAAAAAGGAACTGCGCATTGTTTTGAACTCGACTGCTTTTCAGCAGCTGCAGGTCTCCATGAAGCCAATTGGGGGAATTGTGACAAATAAAAAGTCCATTCCCGATAACTTTCGACAGGTCGAAACCTTCACAACAGAATATCTGAGCAAGCTATGGAAGAGTGCGTCACATTCATTTCACATTTTTTCTTTTACTCCGACCCCTCACTTTCAATTCTTGACTTAATTCAATATTACTTACAACCAATATATCAGCTACCGAGATATAGTTTGGGAAAGAAGAAAAAAAAGCACACTGCTGACCGTTTCGCAATATAGTTTATACAGTAAATCGCGATGTGCTTGACAAGGGTCGCCGTCTTGAGAACCTATTTTGGAGGATATGGGGTAGCGAGCGGATACAAAGGACCTTCTCCGGGAAGACTGTATCAAAAATATTCCTCATGATACTTGAGGGTGAAGGGCCATTTGAGAAAACAAGATTTCGGATACCACCGTTGCCAATACCAACCCCGCCCCATCCACCCCACCCGGAGTCCACACCAAGGCCGTCTTTAGAAATCGAATGCCCTCCGACACCTCCCCCGAGCCCTATGCCTCCAGTAACATCAATAGCGGGTTTCCAGTTGGGGTCATCTTATCTTTCTAAAATTCCTTCAGAAATGGCAATCACTGCTTCACTTCATCAAGCCTTTCCACCTCGACTACTATCACCCCCGCCACCTTCACGAACTAACCCCTCAATGGCCGAGCAATCAACGGATTCGGCGCCACCGCAAAATGATCCCCCCGGCCCGTCAAGGCTTGCGACCCCTCCAAACACCAAGATGATAGTTGGCGCGGCCGCGGCCGGAAGCAAACCTAGCAGTTTAGTGTCCAGTGAGAATGAGTCGGTGTCTTCCAAAGAGGGTGGTTGCGGCAAGAACCCTGCAGTCAAGGAGAGAAAGGCTAGGACGGAGCGTCCTCCGAGAGGTCGCCGAAAAGTCGGAGTGTCCACTCGGGTGACGGCAACTCGGAGGTCGCGCCCTGCCGGTCCCCGACGGAAATCATCCTCGTCGTCAAATACCGCTGTCAACACCGCCTTTTCTAGTCCCTTACAGACGCTAGCTGGGGATCTGGCAAGGTCCCTACCAAGCGATAGTGTGCGTCAACAGCACAAGGTTTCCTCAACCGATGGCGGTGATTTCGAAAGCGATGCCGTGGGAAAGAGAGGGGATACGGCTGACAGCAATTGGATTGTGGATCCTGATTTTCGAACAAAGTACTTGGAGCGAAAACGAAAGGAAAAGTTGGTGGCATGGTCATCTGAAGCCTTTGTAGTGCCATTAGTGACAAAGGCTGTTCCTACCGCTGCCGTAGTGGAAAGTCAGGCGACAGCTTCAACAAAGATATCTCGTGGGAAAGGAAAGGGCGTTGTTTTGGTCGATCAGATTGTTCCATTGAAGGGATTATCAGAGGAAGCTACGGATTTGCAAGCGACCAGAGTCCTAGTCGCGAATGTGAGGGATGAGGGTATCGACGAACTACCCGCGACCTTAGTGAGAAGGAAATCAGAGCTCACCCTCATGTTCGAAGCTGAAGCGAAGAGGTCTGGAGAGAAAGTAGGGAAAGGAGGTCCTGGGAAGGAGGAGGCTATAACTGAGGGAGAAATGACAAAGTAATCAACGAACCGGTTACTGCGATCAGAGGGAAGGAGGTTGGGTGGTCGGAGGTCCATACAATGGAGGAGCAATAATAAGGGCCATGGAGGAGGCATTGGGCAATGAACTGGTTTAGAAGGGATGGAAGGATGGAAGGGGGCGAGAAGATCTTACAGAGGCCATCTTTTTTTGCGTTTGCATCTGTCAAGGAGGGGAGCTTGGTGGTGGGCTCCTCCTTTGAGCGGGGGTCCGGTGCCACAATTGGCTTCCTCTTGTCTCTAGATATTGGAGAGCCTTGGGTGGGGATGCAGAATGTTTTGTGCGCTGTGTTGCGCCCTTAGCAATACCGGTGGAAAATTGGGTCATAATCTAATCGATAGCGATCGCATCTGTTTTGTTTTGTTTTTATTCTTTTTTTCTTGCCTTTAATGCATTGTTCAGGGGAAAGGGTTTTTGCTGTTCCTAGGTATTTATTTGCTTATCCAGTTCCATTCTGCACATTCTGGGGACCAGAAGGGTTTTCAATATTTTTGTTCCACCCCCCCCTTTGTTAGTCTTTGTGGCTTTGAGCGCTGTGTATTTAGTTTTTTTGCGCGTGCATGTCTGAAGAGAAGGTTATTGCTTGTGTTTTCATACTGTATCGTGGGTTGCTTATTTGGATTAATTCTTGGGGCCATGGAATTCTTCGTAAACACCAGTCATACTTTTTTTCCATATTTATGGACCCCTCCCCCCTCGCTCACCCATCTGTTCGTATGTGATGCACCACTCATCTCATCCGCACATCTGTTTCCTTATCTTCTATCGTTCCAGGGTAGGCGTCAGGCCAGGCACAGCAGAAAGAAAGCAGGCAAGTTGATACTGGGAAATGCCTTGCATGTATCTCTCCCCTTTCTCCCTTCCTCTTCCTCTTCTTGGGGGCTATGATTGAAAGAAATGGAATTAAGAGTCAAGTGCTTGCTTTCGCATGCTGTAGGGTGGTCCATTCGATTTGTGTCCAGCTAGCGAAACAGCCAAACCTCGATCTACTCACCACACGAAACGATCACGTCCAGGTTTTATCCCTCCTCCTTCCCTCTTCTCATGCCCGGAGGTCGGGCCGGGGCATTATGCGTGGTGGCTTTTGCAGCGCAACCGTCCCGTTTGTTCGTTCACCCACTCGCTCATTCACCCACTCACGTCTGTTATGGTCTATTGGCCGGGAACAAAAGACGAAAACTCAGTCTGGTATTGATTCACGTCCACAAGTCCCTTTCTGAGTTACCCACCCACAACATCGTTGGCCAACAGGAAGAGGTCCGCCCATTCTCAATGCTATATTCCCCCCGCCACACATCCTCCCATTCGCTGGATATATACCATCCATACTTTTAGACGAATACAGACAGACAGGCAGGCAGAGGGTATGGCACAGTGAAGTACTGTACTCGTACAACGTGCAACCAGAATCGAACCCGTGCGGTGTCCGTGTTCTAGACTGGATAGCATGATCGGTCGTGATCGTGTGGATGCTACTATATCGAATGTGCGATTGCACTTTTTTAATTTGTATGATACCTTCCTTCCTATCCTACTTGTATTTGTGCCCCCCCCTCCTCCCCTTCCTCCCAGCACACACACCACTGGTTCGGTTCAGCTGGACTGGACCGGACCGGACTGGACTGGACCGGGGAGGGGGGAGGGCGCTTGTTGGTATGATAGATACGGCAGATATATTAGATAGATAGATAGATAGATACGGTAGATAGATAGATAGGTATATCGCACTCTTACTAACTCCACCTTTTTTACCTTATCTCACTCACTCATTCACTCATTCACACCTTACCTTACCTCCAGCGTTAACCTACCGGTATTGTAATTTCCTATCGATCCAGCCAGCCAGCAAAACCACAGTAACTCGAACACCACCACCACCACAACACGATAGCAATCCCGCCCGAGTATGATATTATCCACGAACGAGAAGACTAAAAAACAAAAAGACAAAACACCAGCCAAACAACCAACGATCACGATCAACCCTGATTGATGTATGTGAACCGAGTTCAGTTGAGCGAATATTGTGATCCACTTCAACTTGGCCCAACCCACCCTTCTCCCTTTCTCTCTCTCTCTCTCGATCCCACCTTCGTGATCTAAACTGTCAACCCCATAAGAGAGAGCAGAGCAGAGCAAGTAATTACAATATTAATAAAAAAAATAAAAAATAAAAAATAAAAAAAAGTCATGATCGGTCGGTATGTACCGACTGGTAAGTCCGTCAGTTCACCGTCCGCTACAGCGGGATATATATAAGTTAGGCTAACGGATTTGTGTGTGCATGTATTCAAAAAAAAAAAAAAAAAAAAAAAAAAAAGGCCCGCAGGTTACAATACAGTAATAAGCTTCCGTTCGATTCGTTTGGTTTTGGAGTTTCGACCGGCAGGCGTCAAGTTTTCCCTTTTGTTTCCGTTTTTGCTCGCGGTGTGATCACTGCGATGGGGTAGATGAGATAATACTATAAGTATCCTATCATACACCGACCGCTTTTCCCCCGCTTACATAAAAGCACGTTTACCCGCCCTCCTTCCTTCCTTCCTTCATTCCTTCAATCCATCCATCCATCCATCCATTCCAAGCAACGCGCGATTGCAATAGACTACATTACAGATCGAGAGGACGAACAAGACACGCACCGACGAAATAGGGGGAAGGAAGAGAGAAAAAAAAAACTCCTCCTCCGGTAACCGGCAACCCATCAAACATGTCACGTCCTTCGTGGTATGGTATGGTATGATAAACTTCGTACCGTGAGTTAACCTAGGCACGTGTACTTGTACTGTACTCGTACATACAGTGCAGTGCAGTGCAATACTATCACACCACAACACATAGACACACACACACACACACACACACACACGGAGCGAGAAAAATTTCGGAAATTCCGGTACAGTTAGCGGGGCATTCCTGCAACCACACCAAGTTTATTTTTGTTTGTGTACACATCATCTTTTTATCCGGTACAGCCAGAATTTTCACTCAAAGAACTACTCCACCCCCTCACTCACGATACTCCTCCCTTAGGTGGTGTGGCCAATCACAGCCCTCCATCCTAAGGCTTCATTTCCTTTGAGAGTTTAGGACGCTGGCCATAAGACCATCCTACTCACTCACCATGACCTCCCAACCTTCGTCTCCGGCCCTGCCGCATCTCCCCCACTCTCCTTCTCCCCTGGGGGGACCCAGAAGCCCTACCAAGAGCCCAAGGATCAATTCCCCCAGCCTCCTCCCGCCCGGCTCCCCTCAAGGAGTTTCCCTCAACTCAACCCTCCCCATGTTTGCCACTATTAGGCACCAAAGGGGCTGCCCCAACGCCTTAATCAACGTGGGGAACAGAATCGTGGCCAGGGGAAGTACCTTTCCCGAGGTCAGACAGGAACTAGGATGCACGAATGCATGCTACGTCCTCCTCACCGGAAACACGAATGCCCCGACCATAGCGGCACCCCAACCGGAGCTCCCAGGGTTCAGGACCACACTCCAGAAAATCTTTGGCAATGAAGCGGTAGATGCAGCCGACACCGACACCTTAGCTTTCCTGGCAGCAGCAGCCTTCTCCTACCACCCGTCACAAGAAAGCCCTGTACCAGTATCCCAGATACCACAGGTACCCGCCTCCTCCCCACCGTTAGGCGAAATGGACGAACCCATGGACCAGTCTCAAGACATCGGAGTAACCGAAACGCAAGCCACACAAGATGTAGCAATGTCCCTGGGAAACGGGAAAAACACAGACCAAACCGGGTTAGGAGACAGCCAACACGCCCACGGGCCAAGCGAAGTGCCGCAGGGCTCGGCCCCCCAGAGCGTACCAAGGCAGGTACGGTTCTCTTCCCCCTTGACCACGACAAGAGAAATCCCGGGGACCCTAACAGGCAATATGACCAACGACCCGAACTCCTCACATGCCCAAAACCGCCCCACCATCCCCTCCTCCTCCCTGTATGAATTGGCGGAAGTCGAACTCACACCAGAAGAAAAGGAGGAACTAGGACGCCCCGTCACCGTAGGCATCATGGTGGGCTTCATCCACCAGCTGGAAAAGAAATTCCAGGAGCAGATGCAGGCAATGGAGGAACGGCTTACCGGGGAAATAAGACTAAGGGCTAGGCAATCCAACACCAACACCCCTACCCCTACCCCATCCGCTGCCCCTAGACAACCCAGAACCCAAACCCCAGCCCCCAACCAAAACCCCCCCCCCACCCGCAAAGCGTGAACTAGTATTGACCATCAGTGAGTAATAAAAGTAGCGCGTGCATTATCAGTATCATAAGGGATAAATCTCT